CTCCCATCCCCATTTTCTGAGAAACAGTCTCTCTATGTACTTCAGGCTGGCTTTGAATTCACCGTGTAGTCCGGGCTGGCCTCGAACTCAGTGATCCTCCTGCCTCAGGCCTCCTGAGTGCTGGGACTAGAAGCTTATGCCACCATGCTTGGCTCTGGTCTTCCTCCAGCCACAGCCTCCCCTCAGGTCAGACATCTTTAAGACCAAGGAACTTGCCATGTAGAGCCTATCTCTCACCTCTACACCATGACACAACTGTTGGGATTCCAAACCCGCTGTCCAAATCACCCCAGGCTCTCTTCCAGGGCCTGTGCAGACCTTTGCGTCTGTCTCCTGGGGGCAGATCGCGCCGTCCTCTTGGACCCCAAAGCTGAGGAGGGGGCAAAGGGTGAGCGCCTGCGCGGGGGCGCGGACTGAGCCTGCGCGGGGGCGGGCGGGAGCGCGTACACATGCGCAGTGCAGGCCAGGGCCGCCTCCTGGAGAAGGACCCCGGTGCCCTGCGCTCCAGCACTGTCCGGGGAGCTGGAGGGTTCCAAGCATGAACCCAGTTGTTAGAAACCATATCTGCCAAGGTGGGAGATCTTTGGATCTTCCCTCCGACCCAAACAGGCAGCGTCTACTTGCCCTCCCCTCGAACCCAGGCGGGACTCCATGAGCTTCCCCCAGACAGGCCAGAAGCGGGGCACACGGAGAGGCCCGCGGGAGCCTCCAGCCGGTACCGGTGAGTAAATCCACAGGCAGATGATTCCTGTCCTCAGCCTTTCAAGCTTCCAGCCCAAGCCTCAGACATACGGGGCAGGCACAAGCCCTTCCGGATCTGGCTTTCCGGTCCGCAAGCTCTTCCTCGTAGCTAACGCTTTCCTGATGCCTCTCTGCTGAGGTTGTAGTAAGTTTTGGGATGTCTTATTATGCAGACGTGGCATACTGGAACAGATTTAAATAAAGTGCATTTAGCAGCCTATTGGCTCAATCATTTGAAATATTTTGATAGACTGGATGTGGGCCTCCATTTGTACTCTTTCTCTGGGCCCTGCAAATGTTGAGTGTGTCTCTAATAAAAGTATTCGGTGCCCAGTGTCATTAGGGTCTGGGCCCGGTCGCAGGTGTAGAAGGGCGTCCGCGACAGGAGGACCGGTTGTCTTCCGGACAGCTTTCTGCCTGTGTGGTTTCCAGGCCATGTCCTCTGATCTCCAGAGCTTGCGGAAGCCGCCTGATCTCCGTCAACTCCTCCTCTGCAGAAAGCAGCCAGGGTGGTTTCTATGGCTTGCAACTTACATCTGCCGATTCAAACAAAACCAGCTCTGGATTGTTTCCCTTTGATTGGCTTCAACATTAATTGAGTACTTGCCCCCTGGCTGGCCCTAGTACAGGCAAGAGAGAGTCTTATTATTAGGTAATAATAGCTAATGTTTACTGCACACTTGGATTGTGCCAGACACTGTGCTAAGCACTTTTCCTGCTACATCTTGATTCCCACAACTTAGTGCGGTAGATGCGATTATCAGACTGGAGGCCAGGAAGTGGAGATTCGGAGAGGTTGAGCAGCTTGAGTAGATCACACAGCTAGGGAATGGTGACGCTGGGGACCCCTGACCGTGACAGCTGCCGTAGATCATCAGCCTCCAGCGGACGTCTGGGTTTGGTGGAGAAGCACAGAGCCAGGATAATGTCCATGAGCACAGAGGAAGCGCATTTAGCGGAGAGGGAGGAGGGCTTCCGGGAAGAGTGTCACCAGGGGCTGGGGACTGGTGGGACAGAGGGGTGTGGCACGCCCTCCAGCCTGTGGGAGCTGCACGTGCCAGGGCCCTGAGGCGCACATGACTTGCGTGGGAGCAACTGTGCCAAGTGTGTGGGCTGGGGGAGAGGAGAGGAAGGCAGGGCCCAGATCCCAGGGCCCCAGGCGCTGTGTGCGAAGCTGAAGAATCTGAACTTGTCCCTGGAGACTTCAGGGCCATGGAGGGATTTTCTGTGGATTTGTGACTCGGAAAGCTCAGGTAGAGCAGGGAAGTGGTTTCCGGGGTGTGGAGGCCGGTGAGGAATGCTGCCAAGAGGGACTGGACAGAGGGCTGGACTTGGTGCAGAGGGAGGAGGCAGAAGCCACCAAGCTTGAACGTGCGCGTGAAGAGGAAAGGAGGCACCCAGGGTTATGTCCCCGAGTCTGCCTGGGTGGCGAGGGAGCGGTGAGGCGGGATGGCAGGAGAGACAGGGCTGTGTCTGAGGCATCGGGACAGGCAGCCTGGAGAGGGGTTGACAGTTACTAAGCAACTGTGTGGAGCGAGGACTCGCCTCCCAGTGATGCGGGGAAGACTTAGCCAGGTAACACACAACGGGGTCAGAAGAGTGCCTCTCACAAAGTAAGCACGCTGGGAGAATCGACCATTAATTTTACTATCGTCGTTAGCCTTGTGTTACAGGCAGGGCACAGGGAGCTGGGGCATCTGAGTGCCAGGAAGCCAGAAGCCTGCCTGAGGGTCACTCATGGGGTGCAGGAGCTCATATAGTGGACGGTAAAAGGGACGGGAGGCATGAAGTGCTGAAGCCCAGGGACACCGGCGATGCTGCTGTCCGAATCTCTTGGCCAAACTTGGGTCTCACTGGTGCTGCAACACCAGCACACATACAACTCAGCCTGGAGAGGTTTTGACAGTATGCTCCTAATATTCCTGTGTCTTGCAAGGGTCTCTGCTTCAGGGGTTGGGAAGATCAAGGTCCAGGATCAACCTTGAGACCCTGGGGCTCCCAGAGAGCTCCTTCAGTGCCGGAAGGATGCTGGGTAACCTCACAGGCGAGGGGTTGGACATGGTCCCCCAGCTCTGGCGGTGGCGAAAAGGAACCGAGGAACTACCGAGCAGGTGACCATAAACTTGGTCATTAGTGTTGTTCACACTGCAATCTCCAAGTTTTGTTTTTCTGTATTGAGGATTGAACCCAGGGCTTTCACACTGGACAGGATGTTGCTAAGTCACTAAATTGCCTGGCTTGAATTTGAAATCCTCCTACCCCAACCACCCTCCCCCACAGAGTGCAGAGATTACAGGTAGGCACTACCACAACAGACTCAATCTCCAGGGTTTACCCAGTGTCTAGGCTTCAGTGAATTTTGTGGTCTAAATGTCTGAAACAAAACACCTTGGTTCTGGCTTCCCCATGGGCAAGGCTGAGCCACGGTTTCCTCATCTGTAACACAGACAGGAATCCCCCTCTCCTAGGCTTCCCATAATTCAGCGAAAGAGTGGGAGACTGTACTTGGAGGACTGAGGTGTGTTCTACAAAGGAAGGGTATAGTCACATCCTCGCTCTCCCCTCCAGGAGACGGCGGGGAACAGGCTGGAGAGGAGGGTGGGCAGCTGGGCTCCTTGCCAGACAAGTGGGGTGAGGTCAGGGTGGCTTCGAGGAGGAGGAGGGGGAGGGTAGGGGGAGGGGAAGCGGAGGGGGAGGAGGAGGAGGAGAGGGAGGAGTAGCAGGCTTGGGCTGCCACTAGCTCCCCAGGCCCAGGAGGAAAGTTGAGGCCAACGTGCTGTGACCTCCTTCATGCCCTGCCTGCTCCTGCCTTGCCTCAGCCCGCGGAAGGGTCTGTGTGCCTGTGCATGCGCCGCTAGGAGAGCCCGCCTACTAGTTCCTGCGAGGCTGGGATTTAGCTCAGAGGTTCCGCCGCCTGCCCGAAAGCAAAGGTCCCGAGTTCGATCCCCGATACCAAGAACAAACTGGTTCCTGCGCGGGGGGGGGGGGCTTCCTGGGAGAGGCCTGCTTCTCACATTTGTTCTCTCCTTACCGCCTCCGAGCACTGAGATAACTGGAGGGCCTGCAAGATCTGAGTCCAGCACTCACTGGCGTGTCAGTGCCAATGAGCCACCCACGGAACCATAGCCCCAGTGCGGTGCGGCCTGACGGTGGGCGGTGCCTCTTGGCTGCCTCTTTGGCGTCCGTGGTTCCTGCAGGCTGGGCCTTTCCTCGAGAAGGAACGTGAGGAGAGGAGGTCGGGGAGAGGAGGAGCACAGGGGGCTTCAGCTCCCTGCCCTGTGCTCAGCCAGCAGCCCCTCCCCACACCGCAGCCCCTACAGGACCAGTCTCCCTCCGGAAGGAGATCCCGTGACTGGGGAGGTAGGAGGTGGAAATGCCTTGGCTGTGGACTTGGCCCTGGTGCAGAGGATGTGTACCTGCCTCCTGGAGCTGCCCCACCCACACCCCATGCCCTCCACGCGCAGACCAGCCCCCTTTAGGGCACCTTCCTGGGCTGGGTGAGGTGGTGCATGCCTGTGGGCACAGGCTGAGGCAGCAAGGTCGCAAGTTCGAGGCCAGCCTGGACTACATAGCAAGACCCTGTCTGTGGGGTTCCGTGTGACACGGGATTGGGTCAGTGTCCTTCTGTGTTGGATATTGTAGATTCCTGAAGTTCTGTTTGGTGTGGCTGAGACCCTGGGTCCCGGTACAACCAGCTCTCGGAGCGCCTCAGTGTGGGACTGGCCTAGATGGGGCCGCCTGGCCAGCCGGTGCATATTCGTGAGCCATAAATGTGGACGGCAGTGCGTGCCCGACCGTAGTAGGACCGCAGTGCGTTGGGGTGAATGACTGGGTGTGGAAGTGGAGAATCCAACCAAGGGCCGGCGCAGTGGTGACCCGTGGCTGGCTGTGGTGGGGTCACCTGGGCGGAGACGTTAGCCCCCAGCTGGCAGAGCCGGGGTCCTCCCCCCTGGCCCACTGCTTTGCATTCTCTCATAAATAACCTGTAATGCTGCTGAATGTGCTTTCCTTGTTGGGGCTTTTCTTTCTTCAGTCCTGACAAAAGCCGCACTAATGAGTTATTGGAAAAACAAGTCCTGCTCCAGGCCACAGAGGCTGTGAGTACAGAGGGGGAGGTGCTGAGAGGCCAAGCAACTCTCTCAGGCGCACTCTTTCTTGCAAAAGAAAATTTCAAAAGCCCTCATACATGTGTGTCCAGGGCTTTACAGGGCACCTAGATTCTCAAAGAATTCTTCCCCACAACCTGGTTGGATAAGAACATTGATATCCCCTGCTCTGAATGTTTCTGCCTCAGGACCTTTGCACTTACTGCTTCCTCTGCTAGGAACACCCTTCCTCCCAGATATTTTTCTGCCTCCCTCCCTCACTTTGCACAGGTCCTCAAAAAGACTTCCTGGTGATCCTGCCTCTGGTGACACAGACTCTGTTTTAATTTTGGTTTCAAAGTACTCATCATAACCTCATAGGTTGGGTTTTCGCAGGATTCCAAGGGGCAAGTGGCTTTTGGAGACTCCAGGAAATGCTCACAGGAGACCAAGAAAGCAAGCAGTAAAGGGTGCACTATTTATCCAGGCGTCAGGTGCTGTGGTGCTGTCTCTGGGCCTGCTGGTACACAGGCTGGGTTACCTCTCAGGGAGCCCAGGAATTACGCAGTTCCTGGGGCAGGGGCCAAGGAATGAGCATCTCTGGGTCTTCTGCCTGCAACCCCAGCAGGCAAAGAAGGACTTGAGCAGAGCCCTGTGGGTGCCAGCAATCAGGACACCACGGAGGGCACTGAGGTTGGGGTAGGCCGGGCCCTGACAGGTTCTACTAGGTCTGCTATGACGCAACTGTATCCTTGACAGCCACTGAGATGGGATTTCCATCAGAGGAGACGTGTCGGGTTCACGGCTGTACCCTGCACACTACGTCCGGGGCCTGGTGATTAAGAAATTGCCGTTAAAAGAACAGACGAAGAGAACGAGGCTCCAAGATGTGAAGAATGGTACCCAAGATTGGATTCATTCGTACAAGAAGTGTTTACTGAGCATCTACTTTGGATTCGGCCTTCCAGCGTTCAGGGCTTCCCTCCAGCCGTCCCCTCCGGGGCAGGGGAGGTGGGAACCTGCCAACCCCATTCTGTGCCCACATTATCTGTGTTACTTTGGCTTCCAGCTGCATGGCCTGGAGAGGCCCGGAGCCTGACCCTGAGGTCCAGGCGCGAGTCGTGCCGCAGGATCTAGGCTGAGATGTTGCCCTTTCCGGTTCCCCGTGGAGTGACAGGAGGCCTTCTTCCGGCCACCGTGGACTGAGGGTAAAGTGTGGGTTTTCTTGCCACAGGAACTTTGGATTCTGTTGTCAAAGCAGCAGCAGCAGCAGCAGCAGGCCATCCAGTGAGGTCGAGAAGGTGACGGTCTCTGATGAGAAGTGGGAGGAAGCAGGGCAGAGAAGAAAGAGCTCTGCAGCCGGGGAGAGGTCCGAGATCCGGGGCCCTGGTCTGTGTCACTCTGGCCTGCAGTGCCACGTGGGGATGTGGGTGGAGACTGGACACTAAACGCTGAGACCCAGGGTCTCTGCGGCCCCTTGTCACCATCAGAGACTG